CTGGCAGGGACGGACCAGTCTGTGTCACTGTGTCCCCAGCAGGTTCCAGCACAAAGGTGACCAAGGTAGCACCCACGGCCTTAGGAGGGACCAGCTTAGATGTTTCCAAAAGCAGTTCTTCCCCTCTGATGTCCTCACTGACATCCACGAGCCCAGAAGCCCTGGCTGGAGGTGTGGTCACACCCGTGTCATCTGTCCCACCCTCTAACACGTCATCAGTAGCGCCTAGCCTTAAAACTCCTGCAAGCTCCAGCTCCAGCAGGGCCCTCCCAAAACCAAGCTCCAGTATTCCTGCCAACAACCCTTTGGTCACCCAGCTTCTTCAAGGCAAGAACGTCCCTCTGGAGCAAATCCTGCCGAAGCCTCTCACCAAAGCAGAGACAAAACCCGTCCCATTAGCTGTCCCATTAGCTTCTCATGAAGAAAAAGGGGCGGCAGCAGCAGCACCCAGTGCTACGAACGTCGCAGGGAACGGTGCTGCAGCCGAGGGCGGTGAAAGACAATCGGGTTTACCCCCACAACAGCTCGGGAAGATCTTTTGCCAGAACAGGCCTCTGCCTCACATTCCAAGGACCTTTCCGCTGCCCTTGGGAAAGGACCTCAGCCTTGACCAGCAGCCGTGCCACGAAGCGCTCAGCAAAACAACCCAAGAGCAGATCCTTCAGACGCTTATCAAGAGGGTCCAGAGGCAGAATTTGTTGCCAGTCCTTCAGCCTTCACAACTGAACCTCCCTCACTCAGGTTTCCAGTTAGAAAACAGCTCCACCAGCCAGAGATTTATGCTGGGTTTCATGGGCAGAAGGACATCCAAGCCTGCGATGTCCGGTCATTATCTGCTCAACATTTCCACCTATGGCCGTGGTTCAGAGAGTTTGAGGAGAGGCTTCTCCCTGAACCCTGAAAACCGCTTGTGTCTGAACAGTCCTGCTGATGCTCCAAAACCAGAATTTGGGGAAGGTGAGGAGACAGCTGGCCAGGGCGGCAGCAGCGATGAAGGAGAGGCAGATGATGAGAGTACTGGCGACGAACGTGAACCTGTCCGTGTAAAAGAGGAGCCCCAGGCCGCCCAGGTGTCGGGTCAGTGTGGAAAAGAACAGGTACCACACAGCATCAATTTGGATTACAGCGCCCTTGCTAAAAAGGGCATGAAGGCAGACGCAGCCGCCTCTCAGCAAGCCACGGTCAACACGGAGAACGTTCAGGCATTTGACGGAACTACGCTAGCACGAGATTTCATTCAAGCCGCTCAAGAGCAAATGGCCCACGCGATGCGGGGGAAGATGCACGGCACCCCGGAGCTGTTCAGTACCTCTGTACCGTCCTCGGACTCTGCGCAGCAGCAGCCTCCGCTGCTCTCTCCTTCGCACCCTCCAAAGCTAGCTGGGAACGCTGCAGCACAGCTCCTTGGGCCGAGTTACAGCGGCACCATAAATGTCTCCACCTCCCCGGACGTGAACCAAGGGTCTCTCATGAGCGGGCTGTCTGAGTGCAGCCAGTTGTCCAGCAGCATGGGGAACGTCATGTCCTTTTCTGTGACTGTCACCACCATTCCCACCAGTCAAGCTATGAACTCTGGCAACCCCGCTCAGACCATCCCTGTTCAGGCCTTCGCTGAAGACAGCAGCATGGAGGATTCCCCTTCCAAGTGTTACTGCAGGTTGAAAGCCATGATCATGTGCAAGGGCTGCGGTGCCTTCTGCCATGACGATTGCATCGGCCCCTCGAAGCTCTGTGTCTCCTGCCTCGTCGTGCGGTAACCAGGACGGGCAGTGGGGAGGAGGACGGCTTGATTTTGGTTTTGCTTTTGGAAGTAGATTGGGAAGAAAACAGGAAATTTACTGCCTTGCACAAGAGACACGTTATGAATCAGGAATACAGAGTAGAGTTCTTCTTTCATTAACGAAAGAGCACCTTCTTGTACAGTGAGTCTAAATTGAGCTCAACTACGTGAATTGTGACAAGAGTTTGCACTTAAGGAATTATGTAAATATGTCACATTATTTTGTTTAAAAATATTTTTTCAATCTTTTAGGAGATGATAGTGTTTGACTTGTACTGCAGTTTCATTAACCCCAGCCTGCTCTCCAGCATGTTTGCTGAGCTCTGCTCTAGATGGGGGGACAAACCCCTGGCAAAACTTTAGCCTGTTGCTGGTCTTCTCTGGGCCAGAGAAGAACCGGATAATTGAAAAAATAAACATTTGTACTGATCACAGGGCACCGAAGCAGGAACCCCCTGGATGGGGGTTCAAATTAGTTCAAATTTTTCAGAATTGGAAGGCATTAATGTTGTACCAGCCTTCCAAGTAATTGCCTTTCCCTTGTGAGCTGGCAGTTTCCGGAAGGCATACTGGGCTGTGCAATACGGGCTGGTGTTTCTGATCCGCATATCCTCTCCTCTTCGCAGAGGCAGTTGCAGTAACCTCGTTTGAAGGAAGGTCGTGTCTTTGCTACTGGTAAATCCTGCAAAAGGCAACTGTACTAACCCTAGGAGTCAAGAATTCAAATCACTAAACCAACTCAGTAGCGGTGATTGTCGGTGATCCCAGGAACCATTTAAAGCAGAGATCACACACGTG